GTCAGGGGTCAGGGGTCAGGGGTCAGAGCATCCCTCCGGGGCGGCTGCCTAACAGACCACAGGCTGGACTCACCGTGAGGAACTTCCAGTCCTTCTGCACCCGGAGGGGAGTGGGTCCGTCCGACTCGTCAACAGCAAAGTTGCCCAGAAACAGGTCGATGGAGTCCTGAAAGCAGCACCAGGGGAACAGCCATCCCACAGTCAACCCACAGCCCCACCAGTCAGCACTAGGGTGGTCAAAAGTATCAGTACTCCAAAAAGTATTGATACTAAAACGTTGTATCCGGATACGATACTCATTTTCAAAAGCATTGATACCCCCCCCCCCTTCTCTCCGATTGATTTATTTATTTACGTTGTTTATGATCATTAACATGATGTTAGCCTTGAATTGTTAGCGGCCCTAGCTACGGCTAATGGCTAATAATAATACCATAACACAGCTCTCCCACAGTCAGAACTAGGGTTGTCAAAAGTATCGATACTCAAAAAAGTATTGATACTTAAATGTTGTATCCGGACATGATACTCATTTTCAAAAGCATCGATACCAATCCCATCCCCCCACCATTTCTCTCTGATTTATTTATTTATTTACGTTGTTTATGATCATTAACGTGACGTTAGCCTTGAATTGCTAGCTGTGGCAAATGGCTACTAAAAACACCATAACATCAGTAACAGGTCAGTTTAAAAACAAAGACACTAACCTGTCGAAATTCTGTTAAATTTTGGGGTCTTTGTTTTTATCCTTATGGTATCGAAAAAATAGTACTGAGTACTTCCTGAGTATTGCTATCGAGTTGAAAATTTTAGTATCGTGACAAAACTATTTGGATCATTTCTCCGTTTTGCTTTCCTTTTTGTTTTCACCTTCCATCTGTTTCTGATGACTGTTAGCATCCCAAATCTTCAACCCCCTTTAAAGGGCAGTGAACTGCTCCTGAGTCTGGGCCTCTTCTTCACACTGTTTTTCAGGCCGAAGGCAGAAACAGGCTCCAGGTTCTCTGTCAACCTGTAATCAACCCCTGTTACTCTGTCTAACTTGTTCTCAATTTCTGCTTTTGAGGTCTTACCTTTTAAATAGTTGTTCTTTTTAAATCTTGTACGTAAAGAGCTTTTAATTGTCTCATAGCGAACCGTTACCTTTTTCTTATTTGCCTACTGTCTATGCTCATCTCCCATCAAAAGTGGCACTGCCCCCTAGAGGGTCAATTTGTTACTACATACTCTGTCTAGAAGCCTGATATTTATGGACAAGCTTTAGCAGATCGTCCCCCAGCCACTCTCGTTGAAAAACATAAAAGACGTCTATAGATGTCTTTGGCAGTCAACGGTTGTATTTGGATTGACGTCTATAGACGTCTTTGGCAGCCAATGAGTTAATGAGGTAAGCCAACCTGTCTGAAGCCGTCGGAGAAGTTGTTCTTGTAGTAGCGGATCATGGAGTTCCAGCCGTCCATCACCAGGCCCCATCTGGTCCTTTTCCCTGTCCTGAAGGCAGAATTTAGCTTTGATTAGCCTAAAGCCGGGAGGTCATTCACGTGATCCGGCCAGAGAGCAGAGGCTGCTGTACCTGGTGAAGTCTGTTTTTAAGGCTCCAGTTCCAGCATACTGAACAGCGCATGCATTGGCATTGTCAGCCCATGCTGGTTGGAGAGCACACAGAGAGCGTGAGGACACCGCCCGGCAGCGCACGCCGCGCCCAGCACACACAGCACACTCTACCGTTTTTGTAGATCCTCTCAAACTCCGCCTGCTCCTCCACGCGCTGGCCCACGTTCAGGACGCCCATCCTCTGCCGGAAAGAGAGAAAAGGTTCTCACAGACTGCTCACATCTGACCACTAAACAGCATCAGCAGGTTTGAGAGGAGCACCTCAGGATTATTCAACCATTTCCCTCTGGGTTTTTAAAGTATTTCTGATTCTGAGGATGACAGAAACTCTATTATTTAAGTATTTCTGATTCTGAGGATGACAGAAACTATATTGTTTACGTAT